TTGAGAGTTACCTATATGGAATGCGTCTATGCAAAGAAGAAGAAATGGTTACTTACTGTAAATGTAGATCTTCCAGATATGATGCAGACATGTATTCCACAATCCACCCTCTGTCTTCTGTGTATTGGAAACTTGGGTCCTGGTATTCAGTGCGAAGAAACTAAAGGAGAGTTGGGGTGATGCTATTTCATGTAGCCAGGAAAGGGGCTGTGGCAACAAGGCATGAGTGCTGCCCCTCTACACATACTGCTAGACATATTTCTATGGTGCTGGGGGCATGCATATCTAAACTGTCTGCATATGCAGCTGCATCACATCTCGAAGAATGATAGTTCTAGTAAGTGACCATTTTTTATTCTATCACAATGAAATGGTTGAAAATATCCATTGACATACAATGATGATTATTTTTTACTATGATTATTTTTAAGGATGGGTTTTTCATTATGCTCTTTAGGTGCTGCAGCTCCACTCTCCAGGTCTCAACTCCCAAGATGCCCAGTCTATATCACATAATCAGTTCAACTAGTCTTCTGGCATATTTTTTGCCTACCTCATTCATCTGGCTTTGTGTAACTCAAGAGTGGGAGGGAAAAGCCTTCTTTCAATTCAGAGCAGTATTTTCTAGTTCAACATTTTTCATCCCTTAAACTTTTATTTGACATGATGTTTTATTTAAGACTTACTGTTGCTGGGTGACAACTGTCATGCTGCTAAAGCACCTTAGAAATCCATAGCCTAGTTTAATATGTTGTATCACAGTGACTTGAACACTCAAATACGTTAGCAGTACCTATTCTGCCGTTCTTGTTCTGTCAAAGCTAGAAATTTCTGACTTGTCTAATAAACAGATAAACTATTCACTAAATAAGAGCATAAAACTTGGTGGTTTTGTGCTTCTTATAGGCTATCAAATGAGAGCTTGGAACAGCAGTAATTTGTATTCTGAAATCGGGCATATGTGTGTTCTGACCTCTACTGACAGATTCTGTTGGCTAGTCTGCTACTCTGAGTCTACTAATTCACTGCTCTAAATTGAGCTTAGCTCTGCTACCATAGTCAGCTGTGGCCTACTCCACTAAGTTGTAACCAGCTTGCTGGTGGCACAATCTGTTGGTCTTCCTATGTAGATTTCAAGTGATACAAAGCTCTTGTTTTGGCTCCTTTCACCCATCTACACTGTGTTCATTTTCCTGCTCTGTGTTCATTTTCCTTCTCTTCTCATGATAAAGAGCAGGCCAGGCAGCCTCTCTCATTGTGGGCAGTTGTTTCTCATGGCCTTTGCTAGAACTCTTATTAGTATTGATCCTCAATTTGAGTCCCATCAAGGAATTTGAGCAGAGACAGATAAGAGAGGAATGGTCACCTTTGGGAATGGTCAGTCTGTGCTTTCTGGCTCCTTTCACCTAGCTCGTGGAAGCACAAGAAGACATAGGGTTACTTTGGTAGAAAGATTGGGTTAGCAGCAGCACAATTAGACTCTTCTGTCAACAGTCCTTTTTGTACATCTGAATGCACGTGTATGGAATGGATGCTTAAGATTAGGTAGAATTTGGTTGTCCAATCCCAGCTACTTAAAGAATTCCTCAATCCTTCATGGCTATTGTGGAACTGAATAAGTGTCTCTAGCATTTGCTTAGGTTTACATCTAACTAACTAATTTGCCAGTATTAGCCTGAAGGGTCATTTAGCTTTATTGATTGTATGGCAGATTTTTATCAATTAAGTTATGAGTATGGTTATTTTCTTAATGGCTCTAGCTTTTGTGGGGACCAGCTGGATACAGCCTCTAAAGATAATTGGCCATGTCTCCATCAGCCTCTCATTTAAAGAGATTTGGGATAGGAGGCTCATATATTTTCCAGGTATATGTAGAATAGGTTTGTTGAGAAGTCTGCATCTTGACAGTGCCTGCTGTCCCTACTCAGCAGGTCTAATCAGTAATCAGTTTTTCTGTTTCTACAGAATTGGACTACAGCCATCAAAGATGGATAGGTCCTTTCAATAGTAACGAAGGCACAAACCCTCTATTCTTGGTGGTCTCATTCAGAAATTGTTTCTAGGTTTGGACTTGATTATTAATACAGAAAAGAGATACAACCTATAATACTGCCAGCACTCTCATATGGCTCATCTTTTCACCATTCCTAGATAGAATGGAAAATCAGGAAATGATGCTTAAGAGCTTATTTAGACTCATAGTATCATGTCAAGATCTAGTCCAATGGTCAGAGATCTGATTATGAGCCCAAAGCAGTTTCTGTTTTTCTCAAAGTAGAAATCTGGCCGAGTCCAAGAAAAAAATTCCTTCCTTCGCCTCCTCTTCTTCCTCCTCCTCCTCCATCTTCGCTCTTTGCACACTTCATTGTCAATGAAGCAATGAATGGAGAATATATTGATTCACCCCTGGAGCATAAAGATGTCTTTTAGAATATTTGATCACCTCCACTTTGAATAAATTCACTTTGTTCCAATAGCTATTCTTTCCAGAAAGGTATTACAATTGGCAAGATGGGCAGAACCAAATTTCTTTTGCATTTCCCAGTATGGTCAAAATGGTCTTACATGTGGTGCCCAAATATTCTTCCTAAAGTTTATCATCCTGTCACTTTCTGCTCTAAACCCCAAAAATAAATGGAGAAAATGTGTTATAGTCTTGATGTGCGCAGAGCACTAATAGCATACATTTCTGGAACCTCAGAGTTTAGAGGCGCAGATACCAGGTTGAGGAGAATGATATAAATAGAGACTCAGAATCCCTTTTTGAGGGCTTCTTGGTCTCCCAGTTTGTTGCTGTGAATCCACTCTTGTATAAGAGAAAGTAGCAGGTTTTCCTTACCAATGTGAACCCAAAGCTATCTTTACTCATCAAGATATTTTCCTGAGGGAAGAAGTGGACATTGTTTAGCTGGGAAATTATGCAGGGCAGATACCTGGTGGATGTAGAGAAGAGAGAGAGAAGGAAGTGGTATTTGGCTGACTGAATGGTGCCAAAATGAGTTTTTCGTTAGTCATCCTTCCTTTGGACATCTGCATGGAAGGAGATGACCCCTTTAAGTGAGAGTTCAGAAAGGAATTGGAATTAGAAGCTCAAAAATTTTCCTGATTGTTTCTGCACATTTTAGATAGCTAGTCAGAAAGCCAAAGCCTGCAATACATATTTAAGTCAAATACTTTATATACTTTACACCTTTTACTGAAAAAAATTGAATCCAAGTCAGAAATGAAGAACCATATTGCACTACCGGTGGCAGATGATATGACTCTCAAGCAGATAAAAGACTCTAGAATAAGTTAAATACTGAGCAGAACAGACTATGAATTGTCCATATTGCTTAATCCATTTTAAAAAGAAGACACCAACATTAATTACTAGAATGATGTCCTTGCCAAGAGAATAATGTGTAGTGCCATCCTATTCCACCTCGCCTCCCTTCCATGTATAGACCATTAATTAGTGCCTTTACAAAACGAATCTTGTAACTAAGAATTTAGTCAGATTCTTGTACAAATATAATTTTGAAAAGGGTACTTTTT